TTAAATCTTGCCCTTCCTTATAGTACTTATATACCACTTCACAGTGCTTTACAGCATTCTCTAAACAGTTTACAGGGCATATTGCCCTCAACAATATGGGTCCTCATTTTACCAATCTCGGAAGAATGGAAGGCTAAGTGAACCTTGAGCTTGTCAGGATTGAACCCCTGGCAGTCAGCAGAATTAGTCCACAATACAGCATTTTAATCATTGTAGACAATATTAGTCTCCGTCCAAATTCTGGCCTAGAATTTGAACAATGGACCCTATCCAACAAAATGAATTTTAATGTGCAGGAAACATATCAATAAACAAGCATAAAAGAAATGTTTATATACAAATGCACAAACCTTGGGGAACAAATGGGTTGAACTAGAAGCAATAGTAAACAAGGATAAGTATGACGTAGTTCCCATTACAGAAACCTGGTGGGATGAAACCCATGACTGGAATGTACTGATACTGATAGATGGATACAAATTGTTCAAAAGAAACAGATCTACAAAAAGAGGAAGTTAAGTTGCACTATATGTAAGAGATCACTACATATCTACAGAAACGCACATGATCAAAGATAAAACCCCTCCAGAATGTATAGGGATCAATATAAAAGGGGAAAAGTGATATTGCCATAGGTGTATATTACAGGCCACCCAACCAATCAAAAGAAATAGACGAACTCTTGGTCAACCAGTTAACATGTTTGTAGGAAGCATACCACAGTAGTAATGGGAGACTTTACCTATCCAGACATCAACTGGGAGATAAACTCTGCAGATAGTGGGAGATCAAACAGATTCATAATGAACCTAGCTGACAAATTTGTCATCCGAAAGGTAGAGGAGGGAACTAGAAGTATACTGGACCTAATTCTTGCTAATAGAGAAGAAGAAATAGAAGTTGTTGTAGTTGTCGAAACCTTGGGTGAAAGTGACCACATCATACTGGAATTCAATATAACGCAAACATAAGCAATATAAAATAATCCAACCAGTGATTTAAACTTTAAAAGAGCTGATTTTAACAAACTCAGAGAGAGCCTAGGAAAGATTTCATGGATGAAAATCCGAAAGGGGAAAACAACTCAAGAAATGTGGGAAACTCTGAAAACTATTATCATAAAAGCACAGTCCAGCACATAAGAAAAAACAAATTCAAGAAGAAACCAGCATGGCTGCAGAAAGATCTCTGACAAATTGAAAAACATAAAAGACAGGTACAAAAAATGGAAAGAAGGACACATAACTAAGGCTCATTATCAGCAGATACCAGAACATGCAAAGATGAAGTCAGGAAAGCAAAGGCTCAGAATGAACAAAGACTTGCAACAAAAGTGAAACAAGTATATTTTTAACAGTTTATTTCAACATATTAATAGCAAGAAAAAAGTCAAACAGTGGGTCCACTAAAGAAAGAAAATGGCAAGGAAGTAACAGGCAATAGGGAGAAAGCAGAGCTGCTTAATTCATTCTTTCCGTCAGTCTTCATGCAAAAAAGAAATTATAGTCCAACATATAAAAAAAAACTACTATAAAAGACAAACTAGAGATTAAAATTAAAATAAGAAAATGGTAAGAGAACACATATCTGACCTTGATAAATATAAATCACTGGGACCTGACAGATTACATCCTAAAGTTCTGAAGCAGCTGGCAGATGTTATCTCAGAACCAATCTACCATATCCTTCAAAAATCCTGGAGCACTGGGGAAGTACCTGAGGATTAGGAAATGGCTGATATGGTTCCCATCTTCAGGAAAGGGGGCAGGGAACCAGATCCAGGAAACTACAGACCAATCAGTCTAGCATCAATACCTGGGAAAAACCTGGAAAAGGTAATAAAAAAAACAGTTCTGTGAGCAATTAGAAGCAAATAAAGTTATAATTAGTAGCCAGCACAGGTTTGTTGAAAACAAATCTTGCCAAACCAATCTAATTTAATTCTTTGATAAAGGTACTAAATTAGTAGACCAGCGAAATGCTTTGGACATAGTATACTTAGAATGCAGTAAGGCATTTGATAAAGTAGAGCACAACCTATTTCTTGGTAAGTAGAAAAATGTGGAATAGACAACATCACCACCAGATGGATTTGAAGCTGGCTGATAAACCGTACTCAACAAGTAGTCCTTAATGCTACTACATCCACATGCAGAGAAGTAAGCAATGGGGTACCACAAGGCTCTGTCTTAGGCCCAGTACTCTTCAATATCTTCATAAATGACTTAGATGAGGGAATAGAAGGGGAGCTCATCAAATTTACACATGATAAACTCAGGATCCAAAAATATCTTGACAAACTTGAATAGTGGGCCCTATCCAACAAAATGAATTTCAGTGTGGAGAAAAGCAGTTTTACATTTAGGCAGGAAAAAATCAAAGGTATAAGTACAGATTAGGCAAGACCTGGCTCAAAAACAGTAACTGAGAGGGACCTTGGAAACCTAGTGGATGGTCACTTGAACATGAGCCAGCAGCGTGCAGCAGCAGCAGAGGTGAGTTGCTGCCAGTTCGGCTCGGATCAGGCAAACCGGTAGTAGCAGTGGCAGGAGGCTCCACCCACCCGCCCGGACATTTCTGTTCATGCGCAGCATGCGGGAGCACACTCGAACTGGTAGTAAAAAAAATAGCGACCTACCTCTGAGCAGCAGCCAAAAAAGCTAATACAATCCTGGGTTGTATAAATAGGCATAGAATCACGATCATGTGAAGTAATAGTACCGCTTTAGGGTAAGGGGTAATAGTACTGCTAGGGTAAGACAACACTTGGAACATTACAACCAATTTTGGTTACCATAGTACAAAAAAGATGTTTAGACTTTGGAAAAAGTTCATAAAAATTCAGAGAAGAGCAACTAAGATAAAGGCCTGGAGACTAAAACATATGAAAACCAACTGCAAGATTTGAGTTTGCCTAGTCTAAAGAAAAGAAAAATTAGAGGTGACTTGATAAGAGTATTCCAGTATTTGAGGGACTGCCACAAAGAAGAAAAGGTCAAATTATTCTCCAAAACAATGTTGGAAAGTAATCAAAGAGAGAATTAACCTGGAATTAAGGAGAAACTTCCTAACAGTGAGGACAATTAACCAGTGGAACAGCTTCCCTTCAGAAATCGTGGGCACTTCATCACTGGAGATTTTTAAGAGACTAGACAGTCACATCTGAAACAGTATAGGTCTGTGATGGCGAATTTATGGTACATGTGCCAGTAGCGGCATGTATGCCCTCACCTCAGGTCAGATCTCCGTGGCATTTCTTTCATGAGCTTCTGTTACCCTACAAAAGACAAAACAGAAGCTCACCAAAGAAAAAGATCTTACCTCTTACCATGATTTCAGAGTTAGGATGCCCCACCAGCCAGCGGGTCTTCAGGTTTCTGCTATGCATGTGCGCACTCATGTCCGTTCACGGTAATGTGCATGTCCATGCATGTGCATGTCAGAACGTGCACATGTTTGCATACATGCACCTTGGGCATGCAAATGTGCAGTTTGGCCACTCCCTGTCCAAAAGGTTCGCCATCACTAGTATAGGTTCTCCTGGGAGCTGAACTAGAAGACCTCCAAGGTCCCTTCCAGCTACGTTATGCTACTCTATTCTACTGTACTCAACTCACAAGAGAAGAAAACCTATGGTTTCAGATGTACTTTAAAATACCAAACAACTCCATTAGTCTTTTTCAAACCTGCTAATATAAATTCTTCATCCAAAGTTTTACATTTCAAATAATCTACATCTATTTTTTTTCTTATATGGTTTCTTGCAAACATTGTGCTCCTCAGACCTACAAAATTGTGATCTTTCCATAGCCATAGTTAATAGCACACTGTAATGTCCAGAATATGAAATTATTCTGTTAACTGTTAATTGCAGTTAAGAGCCTCACTGGAAATAGAATAAAGGGGGGAGGGGGGTTTCCAAGGAAACTTCTCCCATTGCTTTTATTTGTAAATCCACATTAGTCAGCACAGGGGTCAATAGAAAAAATACAACATTCTTCCAAAAATTTAAACTCAAAAATTCCAAGATCTGGTACCATAAACACAGATTCACCAAAAAATAAACTTTAATCATATTTTTTTCTTTAGAAAACAGTTGATAATACAAATCTTCATCTTTTTGCTAGACAAACAACTCATAATATTCATATCAGCTTTTTTATAATACTGAAAATAATACTAAATTATAATACTGAAAATACTGAAAATCTCCAAAAGGACATCTGGAGTAAGCCTCTCAAGCTGAAAGAATAAATTATAATTAAGTGATTTAGAAATGGGGTGTCAGTTATAGTGTCCATTTTTCTTCTGCTGTGCTACAGCTTTGAAGTTGCTGTAAGACCCTGCCTCCAAGCCATTTGACTCACCACTGATTGTGGAAACCTTCCTTTCACAATCTTGTTTCAAGAAACCGTTGTCTGTGGGACAAATACATCAATTTTTGGGAATCCTTTTGATTCTGGAGAATTCTTCAACTTACATGTATCCTGTCTGAGCCCCAATTCAATTGTTGCTTCATCTCCAGTTCTGAAGGAATTGCACAAGCCACCTTCCCCACTAGAAAGGAAAAATCCCTTATCAAAATGGTACACATTAGTAATTTGCAGCAATCTCTCTTTTAATCCTGTTGAACAGATTTATATATTCCTCCTCATATGACTTTCATGAATTTCCATTTTATTGTTAAATAGACTTGTGTTATGTATATTGGAAAAAAAATCCTATTTAAATTATTTGTTCTGTTGCTGATACATTACAAAGCAGTGTAGGATTAAAATGCCAACTACATGGGTTTTTCATTTATTTTAAAAGCAAAGATCATTAAAGTGCTGTAATTCTCTAAATAAAAGTTTAATAAAATAACAAAATTATTTTGTAACAATTTATACTTCTTGAAATGCCAATTCAATGAAAATTCAATGAAAAATAATAGAGTTGTTTGGGAAAAAAGGAGGATCGCAGAATGTTTACATTAATTGAGCAATATTGTTCTTTCTTAGGGGTCCATTCAGTGTTGTGCGGCGATGTATCAACAGAGAAACTGGGCAACAGTTTGCTGTCAAGATTGTCGATGTAGCAAAATTCACTTCAAGTCCAGGCTTAAGTACTGAAGGTAAAAATCAATTGTTATCAAACAGTGTTTTATTCTCTTTTACTTTGTAACAATTACTGTATTTTTTGGAGTATAAGATGCACCTTTTTCCCTCAAAAAAGAAGCTGAAAATCTGGGTGCATCTTATACACTGAATGCAGCATTTTTGCCTCAAAAAACCCTACCCCCTTCACCAACATGGCCATGCAAAGCCTTTAGGAGCCTTGCACAGTGCTCCTGGGGGCTGGGGAGAGCAGAAATGAGTGAAAAATGAGCCATTTTTATCTCAATTTCGTCGTCCCCCCCAGCCCCAAGGAGCACTCTACAAGCCTCCTAAAGGCTGTGCATTCCCTTTTTTTGACAAAAAATGGACCAGTTTTTGCAAAAATCGGACCGTTTTTTGCCTGTTTTTCGTCCCACCCCACCCCCAGGAGCACTCTACAAGCCTCCTAAAGGCTGTGCATTCCCTTTTTTTGACAAAAAATGGACCAGTTTTTGCAAAAATCGGACCGTTTTTTGCCTGTTTTTCGTCCCACCCCACCCCCAGGAGCACTCTACAAGCCTCCTAAAGGCTATTCACGCCCTTTAAAAAGGGGGGGCAGTTTTCATGAAAATCAGGCTGTTTTTTGCTCGTTCGAGGAGCAGTAGGCTGAGTGACACGCCAGTGGTGTAGCCATGAGGCAGTTGTCTGGGCATGGATGGTCTGGCTGTGGGGGCCATGAGGTAAGCCGGTAAGGGGCGCGTGGGGCACCTCCACCCCCCTCACCTCACCTCAGGTTGGTGGCACCACAAGCAACCAGATGAAATGGGCAGGTGGGTGGCTGTGCAAGCACTTAAGTAGGGCTTAGTTTGCAGTAGGGATTATATTAGGCACATAAAAATATGTTAGGGCCGATTAAATTGTAGATAATTATAAATGATTATTGGAACAATTAAGACTAAGAGTATCTGCTACTATTGCTAACTACTGTATATGAAATCTTTAAACACAGAGAGAGTATGCTATTGAATGATATTTGTTGAGGATGAACATCAAAGGAATACCACTATCATACCCTTCTGGTTGAGAGCTTCCTCTCACTGAGTTAGATCTTTGGGAGGGCTCTATCCTTGGGTAGTCTTTCTATCTTGGTTATCTCTGCAAAAATACAACACAGAAACAGACATAGAGTGTTTTCATTTTCATGCCTCTTTGCTTTTTTGTAAATGATATATATATATATATATATGTGTGTGTGTGTGTGTGTGTGTGTGTGTGTGTGTATATATATATATATATATATGTATATGTATGTATGTATGTATATATATATA